CAGGCCAGCTCCTACTCACCCCACCTACTGACTCCTAGAAACTTCTCCAGCTTCTACAGCAGGGGGAGGTATCAGAGAACTGACTTGCAGAGCCCTCTGCCCTGACATTAAGTAATCTAGCTGACGTATACCCAGGCTCCTAACAAACATTCATCTACAAGAAAAAAATAACTCCCCCTAGCTGAACCTGAAGGGCTTTACATCAGGATGTAATGTTTGTACATATGGTCATTTAATTCAGGGTTTGTTTCTTACTTTGAATTCAGCATTGGATCTTAAAAGCCCAGGCAGTACCAGGCACTCATATGGTACCTCCAGTATCTTCCCAAGGCTGACAAGGCATCTTCCTAAGTGAAGGGCCTACATGGTGTTGAAAAAAAAAAACGACTTGTCTCTAACGAAGAGTCCTCTCTGACACACTAAAAAAAAAAAAACTATCACCTGTAAGCAGTCCTTCTTATCACCTTCTTACAAAACTGTCTGCAAACTCCCGATTGATAAGGAGAAGTCTGTTTTATCCAGTTGTCTCCTTCCAGAGTAATTCACCAATCAGCAACAGGCCATACAATGTTCTTAAAAGTCATCAAAGTCATGGTGTCATTTATTGGCATTTCTGGGCAATTTCCAAGATGAGAAAGAGTGGCATCCTTTACCACAAAGTATGTAAGCAAGGGACATACCCTTGCCATGTTCCAGTGGACCATGAAGAATTAATAAATCAAAAAAATTATTGGTTAAACCCACAGTGTGTTTTTTTTTTACCACTCCTTTTTCCTTATACTGGGTTTACAAATAACAAAATTAAATTATTTAAAAGTTGGATGAAAGGTTGGTTGTTGCAGAACTAATTTGGTAGTTAACAACTATAGTCTCCTCCAGCGATGCAACATCTATAAGATCTCTTGCCAGCACTGACACTCGCCAAGATGACATATATCCTGCACATGCACAGGTTTCATTCATCCTGGCAGATGGTGAAAGAATATTGTGAATAGGCAAGTAGAGCTGGCCATACACTAGTAAAATTTTGAACAAAAGTCCACAGGAACATTTATACAAACTTTCTCAGGATACCTGGTATGTTTCTGCAATAAAAAAAAAAACTTTTCTCATATTTTGAATTTTTATTCAAAGCTCCTCTTTAAATAGCATACATAGACCAAAAAAGAGGGACATGTAAGGAGGAAGGAGTGGCAGAGAGATTTGGTTTCAAAAGAGGGTCGGTCTCCCCAAATAACAGACATTTAGAAGGAATGTGAATGAATGAATGAATAATGCAATGGCACACCATTATATTAAGTGTCTCTCAGCACATTTAATCTCCAAATACTGAAACCGGTAATAATATGATGAAGAAAATGTTCCACTGCTAAACAGTAATTTATCCTATCATTATGTGGACTGAAAGCTTACACCATCTATTATTTACACCAGTATAATACTGTCATGAGTAACAATTTCCGCATTCAGAAAGAATTCAGAAAAGTGTTAGGAGCTCATAGTTACATTATATGGAGGCCCTACAAATATGATCAGAATCCAGAGGCACCTTTTGTTTGCAGAAGCTATATGCTGATCTGTCTTAGTCTCAGGTATAACATACTGGACTGTACAAAGGTAGTGCTCATTTTAGAGCAGGGGTCAGCAACACGTAGATTGTGGTCTGGACTTGCTGACCCACCATCCCACAGCAACAGAGTGCAATGCAGAGGGACTACTTGTAAAGTAGAAGCTGTAGTAGTTATCAAGAGCGACATAAGCCAATGCCTCCTCTGTGGTGCTGGCTCCTGTCCCATGCGGAGTGATACCATCCTGGCTAGCGGTCTCCAGAGATCTTCAGGTCAATGTGAAGCAATACTCTGGGCATAGAAGTATATGGCTGCTTTCACAATGATGCGCTGTGGTTTACCCTTTCCTGCTGGTTTGCTGCGCTTAGCCATAGACTTCTATTAGAGCCTGTGGATTTTGTGCACCCTCTGAAAGTGAACCAAAACTCCTGAATGCAGAAGGTTTGGCACAGTTTCAGAAAGTACACCACACCTGCAGGATGTAATAGACGTCTACGGCAAAGCGCAATTAACCCAGCAAAGTTGCAGATGCACTGCGCTGCACCGGAGGTGAAGGTAAACTGAAGCACATCGGTGTGAAAGCAGCCTTTTAGAGTGCTCAGATAGGTAAAGGTTTATTTACGTTTGCAATTTGGGAGTGGTAAAACCCCACAGTTAAGACATGATTTTACCACACCCACCCTAACTGCACCCTCTTAAGCTGCAGTGGCCAGGGGTGTACACATGTTTTAGATGCAGCAGAAGTTATAAGCCCTGTCATTGTTGGTGAGTGTAGCATCTGCTAAGCATGACCCATTCAAGTGAATGAGGCCACTCTGCAAGAGCCCTGCAATCTTGTACAGTACAGAAAACAAGGGGTTAAGCAGGCAGCATTGTGTTGCTTTCTCACTACATGCTTTATCCCCTTGGACCCTGCAGAAGCATGCAGTTGCAGGGTACTTGCAGAGTGGCCCCATTTTCTTAAATGGGTCTCGACTGGCAGGCAGTAGCACCCACCAAGAGCAAGAGGAGGTTTAATTCTTTTTCAGCATATGTACACCTGTACACCTCAGCAGCTAAAGGGGATAGGGATTGGGGGAGGTAAAGCCGTGACACAACCACAGGGTTTTAACCCCCCAACTCTATGTGTGAACAAGCCCCAACAGTGCCACTGCCGAAATAACTAAAGGCTCGTTCACAAGTGGAGCAGGCACTGTTGCTCCTCTGAAAAGCGATCCGAGTGTGTTTGACAGGTAGTGAGGAGGCCTCCCCACCACCTGATTTAAACCCAATGCATGCAATTGTGACACATTAGTATGTCAATTAGAGGTTTACATCAGCTGTGAGGAGGCAACACTGTCCGGTGATCTTTGACTTCTCCCATGTTGTTCAGTTAGATCTCCACCTCTTTACCAAGACATCTGGGATAAAACAGATGTAAACCAACGCAAATCTGTTTATATTGTTCTGCCCATAGGCCAACATGGCACTCCAGTTCAGATGCACCTGAAAAACTAACCAGGCAGATCTGATCACACCACTCACATGAAAAGGGCCCCAAGCTGACCATAGACAGATCGAAATTCAGCCAATCCAGCAGGGACCAGTAAAATTTTGATCAGTGTCTGGCCACCCCTGTTCAACATAAATCGATCTTTAGATCAGCTTCCATTGAACGGACAGTTAATTCTTACAGCATGAGGGGATTCCTCCATTTACCTAATTTGTGTGGATGGAGGAATCTGTTGGTTTTTTTTCATTCAGCCCAATGGCTGAATGAAAGAAAAAAAAAAGACTTGTGTATGGCCAGCTTGTCTCTCTTTCCCCACTGATCTGACTGCAGCTTTGTAATTTTGTAGCAAGTCATAAAGTAAAAGGCTGAGGCAGGTGTTGATCTTTGCAGAACTTTGTGCCAAGCACTGCACAGGCACATGATTTGCATGATTGTTTCATCTCCGAGCCAAGAAGTAGATGCAAACCCTCTAGGTGCCTGAACAAAGTTGGTTCCATCTTACTGGAAAGAAAAGCAGATGAAGACATTTTGAGGAGGTGTACTGTGATTTCTGTTAGAGGTGCTTAATAAAAATTAATTAGCATGCATGCAATTTAAGTAGAACTCCAGACTGCTAAATTTTATTCCAATTGCATAGCGATTCTCAGCTAATTTCTTTGTGTCAGGACTTCTGTGCCCAAGTCATCTGTGCCATATGTGAATGCAGTTTGAATGGTTTTCCTCCTTGACAGTATTAACCACCTCATTGCAGTTCAGCTGATACAGTTCATTTGTAATTTTAGTCTTTGGAAGTAAGGTATCCCCTTTTGTGATGGCACAACTGTTACCTTGGAGGGTCACAACATTGCCTTGTTTTGTGAGCTTCTTCACTGACAAAAGACTCGTTTCAAGAGCAGGGATATACAGGACATGTTTCACAGGTACTTTTCTGGTGACACTCCAGGAAGAAGGACAGTAAACAAAAAACATCTCCTATTCCTTCTGATTCCATTATTTTCCCATTATCTGTGGTGATTTTTTTCTGTTTTGCTCTGGTCAAGGTGAATAAAGAATTTAATGTCATTTGTCATGTGACTCATAGCTTCTGAATCAACACACCATGCCTGCAAACATGAGGTGCAACTTTTGGATTGAAAAACATTCATACTTGAAGAAAAATGTGTTTCTTCTTTCACACTTTTGGCCTTTTGTAGTTTAGTTTATTTTTTTCTAGTTTTCCAGATTCTGCAATCTGCTTTTAAATGGTCTTAATTCTTGCACACAAAATATTCATGTGTTACTTGTTGCATGCTCCTTTTTTTTTTTTTGTGTGACAGAAGGACCGTCAATATTAATGCTTTCTGTTTTACACTTCTATTCACCCATAAAACTTTCCCTTAACATACGGTATACCAATGTCAGTTCATCATCTGGACGTGCATCAAGCACTGTGGCAAGAGTTTCATAACTTTCTGGTAAACCACTTATTATAGAGAAAAGACAGACTTTAACCATAGATGAAGCTACAAACCTATAAACAATGCTATCTACTGGTTGAAGAATATACTGAATATCAATATAGTTATACAAAAATACATGAACATTGTATTCCAATACTTTTCAGAATAGCTAAATTGGTCATTAACCACCTTCCGCCCACCCTATAGTACAATGACGGGCGCAAGGTGGTTCTCTCGTTCCGAGGGAGCATGCAGCTCGTCGATCGCCGGTGCGCTGTGTCCCTCAGACACAGCGGATCACGGAAAGAGCCGAAGATGTCGGCTCGGTCATGTGATCAGCTATGTCCATGTAAACACAGAAATGCTGGTTATCTGCATTTCTCTCCTCTCAAGCTGTCACGCTGACAGCTCGAGAGGAGAAGAGAGCCGGTAATCAGCTTTCCGCGGAGGGGACATGTACACTGATCATCAGGGCACTGATGATCAGTGTGGCCCCAGAAGTGCCACCTGTCAGTGCTCATCAGTGCCACGTGTCAATGCCCATCAGTGCCACATATCAGTGCATACCAGTGCACATCAATGCCACATATCAGTGCCCATCTGAGCTGCCTTTCAATATCACCCATCAGTGCCAGTCAGTGCCACCTATCAATGCCAATCAGTGCCACCTATCAGTGCTGCCAATAAATGCCGCCTATCAGTGCCAGTCAGTGCCGCCTATCAGTGCCAGTCAGTGCTGCCTATCAGTGCCAGTCAGTGCTGCCTATCAGTGCCAGTCAGTGCTGCCTATCAGTGCCGCCTATCAGTGTCATGTATCCGTGCTGCCTTTCAGTGCCCATCAGTGATGCCTGTCAATGCCCATCAGTGTGCAACCTACCAGTGCCTCATCAGTGCCCATCAGTGCCATCTATCAGTGTCCATCAGTGCAGCCTATCAGTGCCCATCACTGCAGCCTCATTAGCGCACATCAGTGAATGAGAAAAATCACTTATTTACAAAACTGTATAACAAAAACTAACAAAAAACATTTTTTTTTCAAAATTTTCAGTGGTTTTTGGTTTGTTTAAGAAAAAATACAATTCCCAGAGGTGATTAAATACCACCAAAAGAAAGCTCTATCTATCTAAAAAAAATGATAAAAAAATTTCATATGGGTACAGTGTTGCATGACCACGCAATTGTCATTCAAAGTGTGTCACAGCGCTGAAAGCTGGAAATTGGCCTGGGCAGGAAGGGGGTATAAGTGCCCTGTAGGCTAGTGGTTAAGCCTCCTGTACCATGTACTTGCCAACATTCTAAAAAAATTTAGGGGACACTTACAAATTAACATTTGATACAGGGTGCACTCATGGCACAACATTCACAGAGCACTTGGGGTTTTCTAAAGAGGGAGCAGAAGCTGTTTGCCTTCAGTCTGCATATCTATGGTTGGTATGAAGTCCTCTGTGCACAACAAGAGGGGGGGAGAGCCCACTGCTTCGATTTATTCAGCTGTGTGTGTCAGCTTGAGCTATTGACTCCCATGAACATGAGGACTCTTTTTTTTAACAAAGCAGCGTAGAATGGTAAGAATGTGAAATGTAGCTGACTAAAAATGATACACAATTATTCAGTATTTCAGATTGATCTAACTAAAAACATTTTTAAAAACTGATTTTTAGGAAAAATTACACACACCAAGGGGTACTTTGTAAATATTTGCTGTAGTTAAGGAGATCATGTTAATATTTGAATAAAGTTATTGAAGAGAAGAATGATACAGTATAGAGTACTGGTAATTATTATATTGGAATGGCTGGTCTTGAAGTTTTTTGCAGCTTTGTTGCTATTTGTGTCTGAGCTTTCCTCATCTGGGTTACAGATGTACAATGTGCTCACTAACTGTCCTCTATCTCTACAGGAGGTTATATTACGGAGATCTTCAAACAAGGAAGGTAAGACATCTGTTTATAGAAATATCCTAAATGACTAGTCCACTCATTGTACATTGAGAAATTATGGTTTTTCTTTACTTATTGCATTGACATGTTTTACTGCTCTCTCCATCAAAAATGAGTCAGCAAATAAAATCAATCAGTGGACTGATAATGGCATCCATAAATCCATGCAGAACTGAAATCAGCACATTTACCCAGTTTACTTGAAGTCTATGGGCAACCACAGACATAGGAAAGGGGGGGGGGGGGGGGGTGTCAGACATGTTTAGAGTTTAGAAAAAAACAGGAGTGGTTTTAGACACCAGAACAATTTATTTCTCTATAGAAATTTTACATAAAACATATATGTATTTTGGAGGGTTGTATAGTCCATTGGTCACTACAGAAGTCTGCAGGGACATAGTGTTTGGAAGGAGTAACCTGTGGGGACACAGGCTTTGAACACTTTCAAGAGTTGAATGCCAAGCAGGCTTTCTGGGGCATGGGGGGGTTGACCTGAAGGCACAGTGATGGGGAGGTTTTAAGGCATAGTGGTGATGAGGAGGCTGGTGGTGAGGGAGGTGGTTGCAAGCATAACGCCTCCACAAGGAGCCTTCTGTTGCAACTCCATATACTAGCAGCAGAGGTTGGGGGGGGGGGCACATTTTATGCATTCTTAAGCACACTGCAGTACATATGATTGGTGTGAACAGGACATACAGTATACAAAGTACTTGTATTCTATGTACCCTTGAATTGAGTCTGTGTGAACAAACTCTTCAAGGTAGACTGCTACTGGGTGAGAACACAATACTCCAACAGAAGGTGGGAACAGTGTGAAACCAACAAACAGAGATCTCATCACTGGAGTACTCAAATGGATAAAAGAGCCACAAGGAGACACTAATGTGCCCAAAATGGAAATACTGCTTATAGATGAACTGACAAATGTAGTGCATTCTTCACTACTGGTGTGGTAGAACAGATGTGCACTATATGACTGCAAATACCCATCAGCCATGAGGTCCACGTAGAGTGGCGATGCTTTTTAGATGGACAGGTGTCTTTCCACCTCTGAAATATTTCTCATATAGAGCTGCACAGTCCTGGAGGTACTCAACCAGATATAATCCAAGAAGATGGTTGTGGTGACCACAAAGGATGGTGCTATGCAGAACAATATAACAGTAGCAGTAAGAAAGTATTAGGTAACAGTAGAAACTCATCAGCATGCCAAACTGCCTCTCAGACTTTTTTTATGAACACATACTGTGTGTTACATACATGATACCAATGGTGCCCAGTGGAGGGGGACCCTGTAAGACCCCAAAACATTGACATTTTGATCTTATGTGGCATTATGTGTTCATAACAATAGTTTGAAACATCTTTGGAGTTCTGGTGACTTTCCATTGTTGCCACCATTCTTGGTGTGATATCCCCCTGTCAAAGTCCCTGAGTAATTCTACACCTTTCTGGTATTCATGTAATTGTGGACAAAGCTAAAGCAATATCTTCTGGGTGTAGCTAGTGGAAAGACATGGTGTGCTGTGAGGTGACACGGATAAATGAAGAAAAGGGCTGAGTCAGAGGAGCTATATAGCTGCAGGTAAAGAATGTAAGGGTAGGGGTTTGTTTTCACAGTGATCATCTCAAAATACTACTATTATACACCATTTTTCAGATGTTACGAATTAGTATCATGGTTTCTCAATGTATTCCGATATTATTACAATATTAATCTAGAACTAAGTTATGAAGCCCTCTTCAGCTTATCACATATATGGACATACTCCAAGCTGCGCATTGTCTAATGTTGGTATCCCAGTCCCTGGATTAATAATTTATACGCAAAGGCCGAGTTACCTGCGCCAGGCCAGGTATGGTGGCCCCATCTGTTAGAAAAAAAAAAAAAAAAAGACTGCATGGCTGGGATGTGGAACTTTGAAGCCAGTGGTTAAACATTTGCTGAAAGTATAAATTCATTTTCTGAAAAGAGAAGCACAAAACCAAAACACATCTAAATGTAGTATAATATTCTAGATTTCTGATGAAGTAGCTGGTTATTCATTTATGGGATTTGATCCAGGTCTATATTGTGTTATTGCTAGGTTTATTTGATGTATCTTGCTGTGTACTGCTGATAATGAATTCCCAGTGATAAGGGCAAGAAGTTATAGTCTTTTGGGTTATGGCTTTTGATAATAGTAACAGCAGAACCTCTTAGTCAAATTTTCAGCAAGCATCTCTCAGTATCTACAGAAAAGAAGCAGGTAAAGCTCTGCCATAGAGTTTGTTAAACATTTTATTTATGCTGCACCCAAGGAAAGGATGAGGCAATAAGTATTCAATACTACCTTCCTACTGTAACTGTATCATATTATTTCCAGTAGATGGCAGAGCAGAGTCAAACGTAAAGAGTACTCAGAACAGCAGAAGTAACACAGAGGACTATCAGGTGGGTGTCATGGTGCTCTGTAGTGTCAGGACATGGTAAAAAAGGGAAAATTCAGCACTGCGTTGGAAAAAAAAACAAAAACACATTATATCCGATTGAAGGGCAACATGCCCATGTGTTAGCTTATCAATTAACTAAATATCTTATAATTTCCAAGAAGAACGCATAGGACATGCTCTTCAAAGATGTACATGTTGGTCACCTGGCAGCATACCAGTGGATTACACTGTGACAAATGTGACGGCAGGTGTTACTTTATGAAATTCTGTCCTTCCACTCAAACTTGTGACAACAATCACCCATCTGTCATTGTCCTAACTATAGATGGTGGCAGCATGAGGAATGCGATGCTACTTAAGTCTTTTTATCCCGACCAGCTTATAATCAACTATTCATAGCCTCTTCCACCCAAGTGCCATGATTAAATCCCAATAAAAATGCAATGCAAGCATTGCATTCTGTGACGTTGGCTTATACAAAAAGGTTATATATTTCTTTATTGAGCTGTAACATGATAACTGTCAGAGTTACTAATCACAGATTTAGGCCAACACTTGCTTGGTGACATTTCAGAACATTACAATTCCAAAATCTGACATTTAGCCAGGTCCATTTTGGATTCTGCAATTTGTTCCACTGTAATTTTTTTTATATATGCATGCAATCAGGTGTGCCCCCCCCCCCCCCCCAAAAAAAAAACATCCAAATAAATAAAATTAAATGACTGTGCTGTACCCCTTGTATTTGTGTGCATAAATATATATACAGTTAGGTCCATATATATTTGGACACAGGCACAATTTTCATACTTTTGGCTCTGTATGCCACCAGAATAAATTAAAAGGAAACAATGCAAATGAATTTGAAGTGCAGACTTTCAGCTTTAATTCATCTGGAATTCTTTAATACATCTGGAATATGCAGTTCAATTCTGGGTACCAATTCACAAAAAGATCATTGGGGAACTGGAGAAAGTGCAGAGAAGGGCAACCAAACTGAAAAGAGGCATGGAGGAGCTCAGCTATGAGGAAAGATTAGAGGAACTGAAATGTATGCTCTCTTGAGAAGAGGAGATTAAGGGGGGATATGATCAACATGTATAATACATCAGTGGTTCACATAGTGAACTCGGTGTAGAGCTATTCACCCTGAGGTCATCACAAAGGACAAGGGGGCACTCTTTACATCTGGAGGAAAAGAAATTTAATCTCCAAACATGGAAAGGTTTCTTCACAGTGAGAGCTGTAAAAATGTGGAATAGACTCCCTCAAGAGTTGGTTCTGGCCAGCTCAGTGGTTTGTTTTAAAAAAAAGGCCTGGATTCTTTCTTGGATACACAGAATAGAATTGGATACTAACATTGATAGGTAAGGTTGATCCAGGGAATATCCGATTGCCTCTCGGGGGATCAGGAAGGAATTTTTTCCCCTGCATGACCAAATCGGATCATGGTT